TCCATTTTCCATTGCATCCTCAGCACAGATCCTGGTACTCACGAGCGGTCACCCATGTTGGTGGTCGACCAGGCTCGATATTGCTTAACTTCGGTGATTGTACAGGAACTCCAAGCAACCTTTTCTCCACGTATTTGTCCCGGTTCTCTCAACCAATCAACGAAACATTAAATGGAATGCACGTTCGTTAATTACATGGTCATGGCCATGGTAGATTTAGCTTTTATCAACAGCATCATAACTATGGCTCCAAGACTTGTTCATTTCTACTGAAATGGCCTTTCTGACAAATCGATATTTGTGAGATTCGAAGCCAATGTATTAGCCAATCAGCCACGCGCACAATTTCGGTAATGAATGACTATTGCAAGATGGGAGAACCGGAAAGACGTGTATATTTCACGCATCAAAACCACTGGGCCATGTGTCCTTGTGGATAAAAGCGTTGGTTGGGTCCAGTGACCTGACGCAAAGAGTTGTGAGTTCAATACCTGGCTACGGCAGTGGTGAACAAAATCAGGAAGAGTTGAGTTAAAAGGGGGTGGCAACCGAGACATCCGGGAGAGTCATGACACTAGGACGATCTCCTCCGGTTGACGAAATAAATGGTTCGGTTCGAAATTTCAATCACCTGAAGAAAACCGGAGCGTACAGTGGCCGAAACGTCATGAACATGGCAATAAATATGAGGGCAACTGTACGAACAATGTAAATAATTTTCTAATTGGTTTTCGAAATCTATATTCAGATAAATATTCGCATTCGTGCGAAAGCTTTTTGGCTGTCTCTTTTCTCCTAGAATTCGGTTTAGAAGAAGCCAGCTATTCTCTGTTGCCTGAGCATGAGCTAAAGATTTGTTTAAATCTGTGAAATTACACCTCCAAAGACACATGCATCAAAACAGTTTTTGGATATCAAGGTCATATTCTCTTCACATGCTCTCTGTTTGGCAATTAACTTTTCTTTCAAAAAGAAAAAGAAAATCTTGTTCTTCAGAAGGTCCTGAAAATTTTCATTTTCGCGTATGCTAATTATGGCCACGATTCTAGACTTTTACCTCCTAATTCTGAGGAAGACTGGTTACGGCACTGTAGTATAATTCTGTGATCGATAATTGACCGCTAACATGGCAAAGAATGAGACCGGTGTAATAGTAACATACCAAATTTCGTGGGAAACAAAGAAAAGTGCTGGATTTCTATGTGATATCTATCCTCATATATAAACAGTAAACGTTGGACAATCTCTCCACAGATGAGGAAAAATAAACTACAGGCAACAAAAATGTCACTCTACAGTGAGGATACTAAAAATTCTGTAGACGGTTTGGTTTGGTTTGTTTTGTTTTACGGCATATCAACCTCAAAGGGTTATTTAATGCCGACAACATTTTTATTTCTGGTAATATTTTTCAAAAAGTATTTTATTGTCGACAACATTTTTAGGATAGATGCGTATGAATAGAATATGTATTCTTTGGTTTAGTTTGGTTTGGTTTGTATTGTTTTGCAGCATATCAACGTCAATGGGTTATTTAATGTCAACAACATTTTTAGGATAGATTCGTATGAATAGAATATGCATTCTTTGGTTTAGATTGGTTTGGTTTGTATTGTTTTGCAGCATATCAACGTCAATGGGTTATTTAATGTCAACAACATTTTTAGGATAGATTCGTATGAATAGAATATGCATTCTTTGGTTTAGATTGGTTTGGTTTGTATTGTTTTGCAGCATATCAACGTCAATGGGTTATTTAATGTCAACAACATTTTTAGGATAGATTCGTATGAATAGAATATGCATTCTTTGGTTTAGATTGGTTTGGTTTGTATTGTTTTGCAGCATATCAACGTCAATGGGTTATTTAATGTCAACAACATTTTTAGGATAGATTCGTATGAATAGAATATGCATTCTTTGGTTTAGATTGGTTTGGTTTGTATTGTTTTTTTAGCATATCAACGTCAATGGGTTATTTAATGTCAACAACATTTTTTAGGATAGATTCGTATGAATAGAATATGCATTCTTTTCCGTTTAGATTGGTTTGGTTTGTATTGTTTTTTGCAAAATATCAACGTCAATGGGTTATTTAATGTCAACAACATTTTTAGGATAGATTCGTATGAATAGAATATGCATTCTTTGGTTTAGATTGGTTTGGTTTGTATTGTTTTGCAGCATATCAACGTCAATGGGTTATTTAATGTCAACAACATTTTTAGGATAGATTCGTATGAATAGAATATGCATTCTTTGGTTTAGATTGGTTTGGTTTGTATTGTTTTGCAGCATATCAACGTCAATGGGTTATTTAATGTCAACAACATTTTTAGGATAGATTCGTATGAATAGAATATGCATTCTTTGGTTTAGATTGGTTTGGTTTGTATTGTTTTGCAGCATATCAACGTCAATGGGTTATTTAATGTCAACAACATTTTTAGGATAGATTCGTATGAATAGAATATGTATTCTTTGGTTTAGATTGGTTTGGTTTATTTTGTTTAACAGCATATCAACCTCAATGGGTCATTTAATGCCGCCAACTTTTTTTCCTGGTAATGTTTTTGTTTTGTCAAAAATCTATTTCTGGTAATATTTTTTTCTCAAAAATATACAGCTGGTAATATAATTTTAAAGAAATGTATCTCTGGTAATACTTTTTTTTCAAAAACGTATTGCTGGCAAGTTTTACTTCTTCAAAAAATTATTTCTGGTAATAATTTTTACAAAGTATTTTTGGTATTAAAACCTAGTTTTACACTTTCATAATGCTTTTTACCTCAGTTTTGGGGTTAACTATTTGCCCATAGCTGGGACCCTAACAGGTGCTACCACCCCGAGTCAGGGTGGACCTGGGAACACCAGCAATTATGAGGTGATTTCACGCTCCTCAAAGCCTCCTGATCAGAGGTCTTGCTGTTGGACGTAGTTAATCGTCTTACCCTGGACGCGGATGTAGTTTATCGTCATATCCAGGACGGTGAGTAGACGTAGCGAATAAGCTAATTTTTTAAAGAAAATGTCAGCAGAAAGAAGACATACTGAGAATCAGTAAAGGGCCGCTGAAATTGTGGAAAAATAAGTGAAATTACGCGTATGTGTTGGGTTGGGGTTATACGTGGGTTGTGGAAAGTTTGCCATGGCTCGTTTTTTATAGGGAAGCCGCAACTAGTATTAATTTTTGTAATCTTTTTACCAGAAGGTGTAAGATGTGCAGGTCTGGCACCTTCTTACTTAAGGCCTGCCTTCCTTACCTTCTCATCTTTTTTTTTTGTGAGAGGGACTTTATGAGAACAGAGTCGTTCCAAAGGTTATCTAATTCTCTAATTATTAATTAGTCGCTGAATGAAATTTTGGTCGCGAGACTATACAGTCTTTCGAAACACTTCCTGTACTGGACCAGCTTCTGATTTGCCCTTGGAGTTGAAGGGAATTTTAGACAAAATCTGACACCATAACGACGGAGGGTTTGAGACATTTAACCCTCACAGGGAATAATGTGGGCAAGAGAGATAAGAGAATGCAGTGAGCTACTTGACGAGCTTGTGTGAAAAAATGGCTGAAATGGGCACGGAGGCCTGAAGGGAGAAAGACTACTAGGAACAACACAAAGTAGAGTGCTGTGGAGAGCCATAACCACTTATGACCTGAAGGGACGCTGCCCATAGAATAAAAAAGGACCTTAGTTTTAAAACAAGAATTTCAATACATTAATATTTAGCTTTTATTAGTTCTTCCATTTCGAGGTTAAGAATACTTTTATTTTAAGTTTTTGAAAACAAATATTACTTTTTATTTGTGGGTATGCGTAGCTTGACCCGAGAAACTTATTTGTGGGTATGCGTAACTTGACCCGAGAAACGCTTAAGTAAAAGAAAAAAAAAAAAATGCTGATAGCATTTTAGCGCGAACATTTTCCTTCCTATCGGCAAGGGGAGATAACTTTAACTTTATGGTAAAGTTTATTTCATATTTTTTTTTCTATATGAAATATTTCAAATTCTATTTATAGTTCTCAATTCCAGCAGCAAATGCCGCCAACCAGTCTTTGCATTTATCTGCATCTTTGCCTGTTTCCACCATTTTTTAAAGACTAACATTGCACAAAAAGATGCAATGAAATTTCGTACGAAAAATTCGCCCGGAAAATTTCACCAAGGCATGTTTTTAGCGGTCTATTTGTGGCTTAAAGCGTTTGCTATATCACTTATGATTGAAGTTAAGATTTTTGTGAAAACATTAGAACCAGATTAACACGTTGACTACCCGAGGTCAATTACGAAATCGAACTTAAATCGCCAACTTAAGCAATAAAAAGTGTTAAATTCTTCGTTCGTGTGTTATATTTTCAATAAATTTTTACCATAAAATCTGCCAAATATAATTTTTTTCATTCCTGCCTCAGATGGAGAGGGAAAAAAAGAAATGACAGTACCAGTTCATTGAGGGTTATTTTTTTTTTATTGATTTCTTTTCTACGGTTCATCAAGCCTTTGCAGGTTATTTAAAGCTAGGAAATATTTTTAATATATATATATATATATATATATATATATATATATATATATATATATATATATTTTAAATATTTTTAAAACTTTTACAAAGAGCTTAAACCTTCCCACAAAGAATAGTTTCAATGCTTTAAAACTATTTTTATAAGTGATATATTTGCTGGGGAACAAAACAATATTTAAAATAAATAGACGTGTGAAAACAAGCAAAATTGCAAGTGTTAAAAATTGATTATTTCCTACGTCTCATCAATCATTTTCTGGCTATTTAAAGACAAAACATATATTATAATGTAATTTTTTTTTCGGCCGGGGGTAATTGTTTAGTGATACGGTTTTTGCTAATTAACCCATAGCTGGGGAGGGATGTATTCATACATTTCCCAAGAGTATTTAATATAAACCCAACGGGTACTGAAAATCCGCTCTCCGATTAAGAGTTCTGAGCTATTACCACCCGTACATCTAAACTTACAGTACAGCACCTGGTATTCCCAAGCGTTCACTCATCTATTTAGTAACCAGGCTCAAAGTTGCTTAACTTCAGTGATCGTACGGAATCGATATTTCAACTTGATGTGGCCGTAAGACCAGTTGCTTGTTAAAAACAAGGAAAAAAAACTCGTGATTGTAGTTTTAATGGCAAGACGACAAATACGAGAACTCGTGATTGGCAGTTTTATTATGACGCTGACCACGTGTTATCTCGTGATTTGTCGGCAATTTAAAATATAGTCCATTTTCGAGAAAATAATTGGGGACAATTTTACTCGGCGAAATTTTATATAGGTGGAAATTTTAATGGGAGAATATTTTAAAGTGGAATTTTAGAGAACCAACAATTCATATCGATTCCCTGTCAGAACTAATCACGCAATGACTTAAAACCGGAGTAAAACCGAATTAAGATTCGAGTAAAATCCTATTTTCAGTAAAAAGAACTTATAATTCTATTCGCGAAATCGGTAAAAACCAGGTTGCATCGGAACCGTTCCACGTAAGCTTCATTGTAAATATTAACTTTTGATTTGAACAAAGGGAAGGAACAGGAGACAGATGGTATAGAGACTAGACTGTCACTCGCGGTGGCTGGAGAAGGAATTTCACGTCAGAAGAAAACCATGTCTAATCTTATCTGACAATGTATTTGAACAGAATTGATTATAAAAGGAAACAGTTTCGTAAGAGGATGTCACTTTGTATAAAGATTTGTGTCTCCGACTTGCTTGGATATCACATAGTCTACGTAACTTTCTCCTATCGGAAAAAGGAAGATTTACAATTTACCTGAACAAATATTGAACCAATATTTTAATAAACAGGTGTGCAACTGTTGATGAAAGCTTAGTGTTACCAATCGGGGTTCCTCTTCGATTTTTGTTAAGCTTTAGAGGCGACTAATCCCGACCGTATAAACAATATAGAAAAAAAGTATTTACATTTTATCGAAGTGTTATCTTAGACATATTGGCGAAGAAACGACTTGCGGGTGTCGTAAAGTTTAGATTTTTTTTTACCGGTGGATTGGGTCAGTGCAAAAATAAAATCATCTACCCCCAGAAACGCCCTTCAGCAAAAAGTAATTTGCTTTTTCCAAATTCTTTTCCATATTCCTAACGATTATGTTTTCCGGATCATGTTGATCAGAAACTGATATATTTTTTACTATTACACACGTCCCTCTTATTGACACAATGTGCATGCTCAATTCTCTCATTACTTCGCCTTCATTGGTCAGTAGACTACTCAAATAGCATAAGATAATAAATAGGGAAGAGATTGGTGTAATAGTAAAATAAGACCAGAAGTTTTAAGTTAATTTGTCTTTTTTTGAAGTTTTTGCTTTGCTATTTAAATTCAATGTAAATTGAACAGTTTACGCTTGTAAGAATAATGCTTATACAACATAAAAGAGTTTTACGAAATTCTTAGTATCTTAATTTAATATGAAATAATTTTAAATTTTGAAGTAAAAACATGATTTTTCACGTAACATGGACATTTACTTTTTTAACCTGCGAAGTGAAATTTGCGTAGCAAACTGAGCACTCCTTAAAATTTAAATTTAAAAATATATATATTGATATTGGTGGATCTGAAATGGTCCTTCAAAGATATTCAATATACAAAAAAAAAAAACAAAAAAAAATCTTGGCGCGTTTGCCGTAACACTTAAAGTATTCTTTCCGAAACAGTTGTGCTCTGTGAAACCGTTCTACAGATTCTCACTTGTACAACATGCATATATTTGAATTAAATTTGACTTAATGGGTTCAAATAATGTCCCAAACCTAAGCTACGATATATTGTCTAAAATACGATTAACATACAAGTATTGAAATTGATTGAAATTTTTAAAGTAGTTAAACAAAAACAGAAAAAAATGCATATATTTGAATTAAATTTAACTTAATGGGTTCAAATAATGTCCCAAACCTAGGCTCAAATATATTGTCTAAAATACTATTAACATACAAATATTGAAATTGATTGAAATTTTGAAAGTAATAATAGTAATTATTGAAATTTTGAAAGTAATAATTAAGATCCTTATGTACACCATGGAGCGACGACGAGTCCCGCAAACCCATTAGGATCATAGGAGCATCTGCACTAGCAGCGGGGTTTCCTGGGCAAGCTTGACGGGTTACCAACTCTTTCAAGACTGGCGGAAAATTCAGTTTTCATCATTCAAGACTATAGGCTGTAGGACACCATCTTCTGCTGTTTATCCATAGCTACGATGAGAAGTGATGCAATCATACCTTTTCCAATTAGGTTAACACTTACGCGAATGTAATGGACTCTATTTTTACCATCGTGCTTTCATCACCTCGAAGTCATTTACCATCGTGCCTTCATCAATTAGAAATCACTTGCCATCGTAACTTCAACAATTAAAAATCACTTACCATTGTGTCTTCGTCAATGCACAATCACTTACCATCTTGCCTTCATCAATTCGAAATCACATACCATCGTGCCTTCGTCAATTCGAAATCATTTACCATCTTACCTTCATCAATGCACAATCACTTACCATCTTGCCTTCATCAATTCGAAATCACATACCATCATGCCTTCGTCAATTCGAAATCATTTACCATCTTGCCTTCATCAATGCACAATCACTTACCATCTTGCCTTCATCAATGCACAATCACTTACCATCTTGCCTTCATCAATGCACAATCACTTACCCTTGTGTCTTTGTCAATGCACAATCACTTACTGCCGTGCTTTAAATCGATTGCAACGTATATGCTTCCAACATTTAATAACTGAACAACCAGACTAATTTATACTTATAACTTGATTAACTTATTGAAGGCTTGCCGAGAATGAACCATACTCTTTCCGAAATACTGATAATGGTGGATTGCTTAATGATCTCTGAATTGTCTCTCAAAGCTTGAATTCCATTTTGCTTTTAAACTGGTTGCCACCAAAAGCAATTGAGCCATGTCTATCCAGCGCACTCAACTCATAGCTGAAAGTAGACATTGATTCTTCTCCCCCACCACGCCACCTACACTCGTGGATTCGCGCGAATCGAACAAAACTGAAATGACTGAAATTTGAACTCATCTCGCCAATGCCAGTTTTCCGATTTGATTAACTGTTTTTTTTTTCTTTCGGATTTGCGTACGTATATGCAGATAAGAAAATAGCACATAACACTCGACATATTGTGTGTGCGTAGTTTAAAAAATCCGATAAAGTATTTTGTTTGCCTATTTATACTCACCTCCTTGAAGCTTTGAAATCTTCTCCATCTTACATAATCTCTCTCTTTCCAATCGACCATTCACTGCCATAAAATTGGATTTCAAACATTTGAAGCACGCACAAACTTTCTATTGAATTTCTAATCGAGAAAAAAAAAAGTAAATTCAATTCTGTTTGCTGATATCAGGATCTGATTGCTTCGAATGCTTCTATCATAATCTTTTTTTTTTGGTGGTGGTGGTGGGTAATTTCTTTTATCTTTTATCGGAGGGTCTAACTGTGCGACAGACTTTTACTGATGCTTACTTTACTATCCAGATACTCAATCTCTTCTAACTCAATTTCCTAGTATCAGTTTTTTTAAAACCTTTACAACACATTAATACAGTGTCTTTGTCACTGACTCTAATTTCGCCAATAATACGTACAAGATTAGAATATTCTTCTTTTCTGTGTAAACTACAGAAGGTAGCGACGGAGAGTGAGAAGAAGGGACTAAGCATAAACTACAAGAAAACAGAATGCATGGTCATCAGTAAGAGGATGAGCCTGAAATGCGATTTGCAGGTCGTGGACACTAGAATCAAACAGACTCGGAAGTTTAAATATTTGGGAAGCGTTTTGACAGAGGACGGTAAGTACCACACTGAGATCCGTAGACGTATTGGGATGGCCATGGACGCATTCCAAAAAAGCTAGGTAGAGTATTGCAAGTCAGAAGAATTTCTTTGGTAACGAAGAAAAGAATATTGAGCTGTTACGTGATATCTGTCCTTTTTTACGGCAGCGAATGTTGGACTATTTCCTCAAAGATAAAGAGACTCGAGTTGACGGAGATGCGGTTCTAGAGAAGGATGCGAAGGATATGAATTGAGCGTGTGAGCAACGATGAAGTTTTGGAGAGGATGCAAGCAAGGAGGAGGCTTATACTTAACGTCAGGGAGAGGCAGCTGAAGTTTCTGGGACGCATAAAGAAGAAGGACCTGAAGAATCTGATACTCACGGAAAGAGAGACTAGGGTAGACAACGCATGACATACCTAGCGGGCTTGAGCAAGTGGATGACAGAACGTGGTCTGGGAGAGATGGCAGAGGGAAGGAACTTGTTGAGAGCTGCAAGGGATAGATGGAGCGGAAGTATCATAATAGTCGTCGTCCTGAAAGGACAGAATGCATAAAAAGAAAAAGAATGCCTACCTCTATATGCGATACATGTTAATCCTCTGACGCAAAATATATTTAAGATATTTTCATCCGAGAAAGATTAACTGTTTTAATTCTATACACGTGACAGTTTTTACATGTTCATTCTAATCAGTAAATATAATAGTCAAAGCTTATATTGTTGCAATATTTTTTTTTACGTATGTATTTTTTTACGTATGTAATCGCTGGGTTAATTTGACTTGGGTAGAACCTGTCTTTATTCACCTTCGTAATTAAACTTGTTTTAAAGTTTCGCATGAGAGTTGCGTTAATTTTGCTGGTAATATTATTTAAAGTGTTATGGGATCGTACCCATAATAATAATAACGGACTATTACATACTTAATAAATAATACGCCTCAGCAGTACGCATGGTGTCAGTCAGTCGATAGTTCAAGTCGAGTCAGTAGTTCAAGTAGAGTCAGTAGTTAAAATCGAGTGAGTAGTTCAAGTCGAGTCAAGAGTCGGGTCAGAGGCAGTCCGATACAGAGTCGCGTTCAGACAATTACTGCATGACATTGGAATAGATACTGGTCGAGATTACATTGTTCTCTCTACTAAACCTGATTGTTCATACTAACACTTCTACTTCTCTGTATATACTACTGTTTGTAATATATCTGTTTATTCCATACCTGTGTTTGAGTTCGTCTT